GCGTCTTAGAAATGGTCTGTTTAAAAATATTTAACTAACACGCTACAATTGTCACGGTATTGAGGTCTGTAGTAAGGAAGAAATGCATTGAATGTGTTCGGTAAAACAGGTATTGATATTATTGCAAGAGACATTGCTATTGTCGAGCTTGGCACCACCATATCTACTGGTAACGCCAAGCTAAAGGAAATAACGGTTTACGCAAAGTCGTCACTTTGGCTTGTAGATTTACTTTATAATGTAAAGTACACGTTGCCTGAAGCTTGAAATTGCCCTGGATTGTTTATAGACGCGCAGCACTTGCATTAGAAACGCACATTGAGCAGTTACGAATCGGTACACACAGCAAACTATTCTAACTAGATGATCTCCTTTGAAATATGCGTGGATAACTACAGTTTGTGTAGATATATGGGCATGACTGCAAAGGCTTCAACGAATTTGAGCTATAGCAGGAAATTGCCTAATTAAAATTCACCGCTGCTTGTGATAAGTTAGGGAGAGGGAGTTGATTGGTATCACATTATTATTTTTCAATGGTAAGAGTCTGAAATATCAATGCCGATATGTAGTTCCGACAGCAATACAAACAATCCGGAGTCTAAAATTACTCTAGTTTTCATGATATGAAATTTATTCACTTATAACTACCGCCTTTTATGGCACCTCGGAATGGCCAAACCACACTGATGCGAACTTAGCTGCAAGATTCCCATAAGGCAGTAAGCATCTTTACATACCTTTTCTGCTTGCACCTCAGATACTAGGAAGCGAAGAGCCACTGTATGTAGCAAAAGCGTCTGGGAATGTATTTTTCACTAGTCTTTTGAAATGTGTCAAGTCACCATACGAAACACTGCGTGGATCAACTTGGCATCGTGGTCTAGAATATCAAGAGAGAAGTGGAGAATTCACGGAAACAGGGGTAAGAAATAAAAAAATGATGCCTTGCCTTTATTCATGCATCTGTTGTTTCGTGCATGCATCGGCTGTCGAAATGACTTAAAAATAATGTATGTGCTTTCATGGGTGATGCATGTTTTGTTGTCTTCTTCGGCAGGCCTGCATGTGTCTCATCATTGTTTTTACGTCCATTACTCACACCAATATTTGCTTGTATGATAGGCCAGTTTACTTCTGCAATCAAATTATTGTAGTCATTTCTAGCTTATGTGTTTAATATTTGTTGCTGCGTCAGAGCTGGGTAAAACATTGCATTTCTTCATAGTGCAAGTAACACAAACGCAAATCAACATCAAGACGCATGAGCGAAGCCAGCAATATTTCGTCACTATATAACTTCGATTTGATCTCCCGAAGCGCTTGTAAACCTTCAAGTTTGTTCATAAGCACAGTCACAAGATTGTCCTTGAGTCTTCTTTAGCTAGCACCGAGCATGTTAGTGGCCTCATGAATTGAATGCCCTGACATTTTGAGAAACGCTAACTATGATGTCGCAAGAATGTCTACGGGGGACATTTTAGGGACGAAACTTTTCATACCGTCGGTCGTTTCCTCCTCTGTAGTAGTAGTAGCAGTATATAGCCACCTCCGTTTTATGAGTTGCTCAATAGATAGCGTTGTGAGTATATGTCCTTGGAAATAATATAACTAGATGGCGTTAGTGGTTTTCGCTGCACAACCATGGAGAGAATGAGGATGAGTGGGGCGAAGCGTCCATGTGTCCGTCCGTCCATGTGTTCATTCATCCGTGCGTCCGTCCGTTCGCCCGTCCATTCTTGTGCGTCCATGCTTCTGTCCATCCATAGATCCGTGAGTTCGTCCATGCGTCCATTCATCCGTCTGTCCGTTCATTTTTCCGCTCGGGTGTTCGTCTGTGCGTCCGTGATTCTGTTCGTCTGTCCGTCTGCACTTCTATCCGTCCGTCCATCTGGACGAGCGGATGAATGGACACACTGACAGAGGGCCACTTCGCCCCACTCATCATCATTCACTCTATGAATACTCTGTGATTTTTTTCTTCTGGAATACTTTGCACTCACACAAAATAGAACCTCACATGTGCAGGCTGTCACCCATCCAGTTCCACTCTTGGACTTGGACGACGAGGACTTGTGGGATGCCTTAGTGCCGTTTCTGATACCACCACCCTTAATAATTTGCTCAAGAACAGTGTCAGCTGCAGGCTGCGTTATGTAGGAACAGTCCTTCGATCTTTGGCACGGCCAGCATTGAACAAAAATTATGTTTTTAAAGTTAGTTGAAACTTCACAAAACCACTGTTAAAGATTAGGTAAAACATTTTAAGGCTCTAAAAAGTGGCATAGCGATGTCATGCCTTCAGTTTTGCGTCTCCAATTAGGACGTCAAAGTGGGCCAGTTGGTTGGGATTCATCTAGAGCCTGGTTAGCCGCGAAATCCTAGAGACAAGGACATAAGTAACAAACAACATGGCGCTGACTCTCAGCGGATATTTTATGGGAAATTGTAAAACAAATATTAGGCAAGTGAAAAAAAAACCGTGACATGCACAATGCACAAGGAAACGTGTACCGGCAGCGTCATAAAAATTACAGATATTGTGACGCTGTGCGTCTGCATCTTGTTGGTGACTGGTGTTTATGCAAGCTAGCTGACGAGCTTCTTCGGCGTATTGAGTGTATTGCTCAGCGTCTGGAGCAAGTTCATTGCTTTGGTCGCACAGAAGCATAGCATCGAACATGATTCGCACGTTTCGTCCGTAAACAAGTCGGAGGGGCGAAAATCGCGTTGTTTATTGCGTTGCCGCATTGTACGCAAACTTCATGTGTGGAAGAATCTCGTCCAAGGTTTTGCGTTGTACGTCCACGTACGTTGACAGCATGTCTGCTATGGCCTTGTTAAGCCTCTCTGTCAGTCCATTGGATTGTGGGCGATAAGCCGTCGTTTTTCGATGACTTGTGCAGCTCAGTAAAAAAATATCCTCCATCATTCGTGCTGTAAATGACGTCCCTCTGTCCGTAATCACGCAAGACGGGGCACCAGGCCGTAGTACGATTTGGTGCACAAAGAACTACGCGACTTCAGAGGCCATGCCACGGAGTAACGCTTTTGTTTCAGCACAACGAGTAAGATAATCTGTCGCAACTGTAATCCATTTGTTCCCAGACGACGACAAAGGGAAGGGTCCGGGAAGGTTTATTCTCACGAGGTCAAACGGTGTCCATGGTGGTGCGATCGGCTGGAGCAGGCCCGCGTGTCTCACAGGCGGAGTCTTGTGGTGCTGGCACTCACCGCAGTCTTTTACATAGTGATGCACACTAGTTGATAGTCACGACCAGTAATACTGTTGGCGTACTCTGGCGAGAGTTCGCGAATATCCCAAATGTCCTGACGAGGGCTCGTCGTGGCGCGCAAGGAGGATCTCATCACGCATGTTGGTAAGAACAACGAGTAGGAAGACTTTGTCGCTACCACAGGTGTTTTTCTTGTAAAGAATGCTTCTTCTTAGACAAAAAGAGGACAGCTCCCGAGCAATGTGCTGAGGGACCTGAGAGCTCCGGCCTTCCAGAGAATCAATAGCTGGGCGCAATTCTTCGTCTGCCTGCTGTTTTGACATGAATTAGGAATCGCTAACTGCTCCGAGAAAGCCATCTTCATCTTCGGAGCCTCTGACAGCGTGTCCCACAAGCGCTCGAGATAGCGCGTCGGCATATTTGTGTTTGCGCCCTGGCCTGTAGACATGCGTAATGACGATCTTATCAAACGCAAACTCCGCCGAGCGAGACGGCCGGATGGATCTCTCAGATTGCCCACCGAGCAGAGCGAGTGGTGGTCAGTCACCACTGTGAAGGGACGACCGTAGAGGGAAGGCCGAAATTTCGTCGTCGCCCACGCGACTGCGAGGCATTCTTTTTCTGATGTAGAATAGTTGGTCATGGCTCGAGAAAGAGTACGACTGGCGTAAGCTATTACATGCTCAACGCCGCCTTGTTGTTGTACAAGGACAGCACCAAGTCCGACGTTGCTGGCATCTGTATGAATTTATGTAGCAGCGTCCTCATCGAAATGAGCAAGAACAGGGGCTGTTTGCATTCTCTGTCATAGCTCTGTGAACGCTGTATCTTCTTCTGCGCTACAAGTAAAGGGCACATCTTCTTGGGCGAGTCGCGTAGAGGTTCAGCTATCTTCGATAAGTTGGCGATAGATCGGCAATAATACGCGCGCAAGCCGAGGAAACGCCGTACTGCTCTTTTATCTGATAGAACAGGGAAGGCGGCGACCACAGCAGTTTAGTCTGGATCATGTCGCACTCCATCCACACTAATGACATGTCCCAGAAATTTCAGATCTTCAAAGCCGAAATGGCATTTTGGGGTTTCAGCGTAAGTTAAGTTGTGCGAATGGCTTCCAGAACCTTCCTCAGACGCTTCAGATGTTTTTCGAAGCTCTCGGAAAAGATGACCACATCATCGAGGTCGACAAGGCATATTTGCTACTTCAAGTCAGCTAGAACAGTGTCCATCATCCTCTGAAAAGTGGCTGGGGCAGAGCAAAAACCAAAGGGAAGAACTCGGAATTCGTAAAGTCCGTCTGAAGTAACAAACGCGGTTTTTATCTCGGTCTCATTCATCCATTTCAATTTGCCAATAGCACTCCTTATATTGATGGACGAAAAATACTTCGCGCGTCGTAACCTTTCTAGAGAGGCTTCGACCCGTGCAAGTGGGTAGACGTCTTTTTTCGTGACGCTATTAGGCTTCCTGTAGTCAATACAGAATCGCAGCATTCCGTCTTTTTTCTCACTAGAACAACCCGAGAGGACCAAGGGCTGCTGGATGGTTGAATAAACCTCCTAATCGAGCATCTCTTTTACTCATATCTGAATAGCCTCGCGTTCTTTGTCAGAAAT